GCAGCGCCAGATTCCTCTCGATGTATCATTGTATGAAACTATATGGTAGCAGGTAAACATAATGCAACCAGACATCCAGATTTAGCCGGTCCCGACTGTGCGGCTGGAGTCTGGCTGTCCCGCCTATATACCTTCTTATGGGGTGGTGTTTTGTCCTGCTTTCAGCAGATAGCCGGCTTGCCACAGCAGTCAGTTAGCACGGCCACCGTCCGCCTTTGCCATAATATACTAATTATGGCTGTGGCCTGCTTTTTTCCTCTTTCCATTTTTTTCTATCTCCATCTCTGTTGGTCTTTCTTTCTGTCTTTCATACTTTGTCTTTCTTTTTTTTTCTGTCTTCTTTTTTTTTTGTTATCTCGCACATATCAACGCAATCATATAGTTCCCGTAAATGTTTGTTGAGGTCGGGCACCCTCAGTGTATACCTCTATTCGTATAATAAATGTGAACAAGTTCAACTAAAGGGGAAGTCTGTGAACACGCGAACTATTGCAACGCGGGCATATCGTGCTTACAATATGAACTTGAAAGAAGGATGTTACCATTATTTTTGCTGGCGTAACCACTGTTATGCCGCGCTCGCTCGTGGACACGCGTTCTCGCTGGAAAGGAAGAGGAAGAAGAACGGAGCCCTAGGAGACAGACCATCTTTGCTGAACGCCACGCAAAAGTGAGTAAAATACCTATACTTTATTGCCCGCGATGGTAAAAAAAACTACGGTAACTTGCGCAGGGTCCAGTCCTCGTGTAAAAGTGTTCATTCGCACATCCGTTCATGACAGTGAGGCAAAAAACGTACACGGCAGCTTTAGTGCGGGAGACAATATACCTCATGTGACCTTGCGTTCCTTCGTACTTTCGCTCGCCAGGCGCCTCCGAGGAGCGCCAGGGTTCGGGATCAGCTGCAAGTACACAGGAGCGCAAGAAATCTGGTGCGTATAGGCTGCTTGGGGGCTCTCGCACTAAAGCTAGCGAAGTCCTTACAGCGGTGATATTGAGATGGTGAATTTCAGTAGTTCGGTGCAGTAGTCTAGCATTAAACTCCCATTAAATGTCTGGATGTTTCCTTGCGCCGCCGTCTTGGTGCCATTCTTTGACGGTGTTGTATTGTTTCTACTGCCGCGATACGAGAACGCGTCCCCAATCCTCTGTGTGGTGAGACATCTTCCATCTGGGTTGCATCTGGCCTATTGGTTGCTAGATATGGAAATACGGTCGACGCAAGTTGCGTTTGAGATGCAAAGAATGAGCAAGCGCTGGTCGAGCACTGCCCTATGTGAACGCACCCTCACGCTTTGCACAATCGACCATTCCGCCATAACATGCTCAAGCACCATGAAGAAACAATTATTCGCTTTAGGGCCTCTTTTTCTCCTACAGGACTGTAACCTCTCTACATAGGCACCCAGCAACGCAGTTAACGAGATCTGATGGCAGCGCCAGAATACACAGCCTAGCGAGTAGGCGCAGCAAAACCGAGTCTTCCAATGCGTAGCCTAGCGAGTAGACGCAGCAAAACCGAACTTGCACGTACATATCGTTTTCTTTTTTAGTTGTGAGCAAGGGGGTCATGGCCGATTATGTAAGCGCTGAGGAAGCGTTCTTTGATAACGTGCCAAAAAGGGCACTGAAACTTCAGCGTGTGACTGTGTTCAGCGAGCGTTCCATTTTCTTAGTGTCCCTGGCGGTCGGCACCAACAATGCTGAGGTGGCCCAAAGAACTTCGTCACGCCCTCTGGTCCACTGTCGTGTGCCTATTTAGGGACCCTTCATATGAACGCGTCTCCCTGTTTCAGGGTGGTGTCAGTCTTTGACACATCACTAGCCATGGTTTGCTAAAACAAAATGTTGCCAGTCCCGGTTTCCATGGCAACAAGCACCATGTTGGTTCTCGCGGCCAGGTGTTCCTGTTCCGCCGGACTGCACCAGCTGCATGTTGGCGTGGGTGTTCAAGCTGAAGTATATGAGCTGCGTTCGACTACACCATAGACCTGTAGATTCCGCTACGACACCATCCTCGCGCTAAGACCACTACAAAAACTTTGAAGCGTAAATGCCAGGGTGCTGCGTGCTGCAATGCAAGATCATCTGGAGACTGTTCCGCTTCCCGACAGCCGACGGAAACGCTGGATTATACAAATGAAGCGAGATTGCTTGGAGCGGACTTCTTGCCGTGTTTGTGAGGTGAGTAATCGCTGTATTTCGAGTGGATTGAGTATATCGCCACATATTTCAAGAAATTATTCACTTCTCCACGCGACAAAAATAGTTTGAGTAAAGCAAACACGAAAACTTGCATAGTACAACGATGCATCAGGCTTCGGTCGCCTACGCCTAGATATGCGAGCGAGAACTGGTTAACTTGAGTATGTTTGTTTATCCTCGTATAGTCGAAGCGCAGTTCACCAATCGAATGATACGAATAATCAAACATGTGGTCTTGCATTAATTCACTCTCTGCGTTTCATGTGTTTCCGAAGCCGTCGCCGCATTCACCGCGGGAAACGCCGGGCCCGTAAACCACTAACAGATAATCGAGTTCACGTCTTCCTTTGCTGGCAGATGTTCGCGTTCCTGCACTTTCACCTCGGTCGCTGAGAGAGGGCATTTGGAGAGGTAGACAGACGAGCCGACGAACGTGTTCCCTGTAGACTGTTGTAGTCTTGCATGGTTGCAACGCAACTAAATTTTGTGCGACTTGACATGGGGTGTTCGTTCCTCCCTTCAATAAAACGTAGAACCGCACCGAAACTCGCTCAACAATGGCAAAAAGTCTTTATTAAATAGTCAACTTCGTGCCAAATCGTGCCCGTGGTGTCCATGATGTCTATGCGCCCATGGTGTCTGTGTGTTTTTCTGTCTCTGTGTGGTTGTGAATTCAGCGAGAAATTGACTATTTAATCAAGACATGCACCAACCAGCCCAAGAGCGAGTTCTACTGTATAGAATGGCAAAAAGGATTTCGCTTTATTAATATCAAACGCAACAGATTTACTGTTCGTATCCGTCCATTATTCTGTCGTTGTGTCGGTCCTGAACAGTGCGGTATATGTACACTGAGCAAGTCGTTTGTTGGCCCATAACTCAAATATGCCCTATGGGAGATTGGTGCTTCGTCATTATTTTCGTCATCTTTTTATTTCATAATCAGTCACAAAGACAAAGATGATTTGATATTGTGAACTCAGTTTTTATTTAGTGCTTGTACAGAAAATGAGAATGGACTACGCATGTGGTTGGTGCCGTGTATGACTTTTCGCCTCATTGCTTCATTGTAGGCCCACTGCGAGGACAGAAGCTTCCAGCAAAGGGGGCGGGACGGTTTGAAGAAATTAAGGCCAGATGCTGTTTGGATGCTGTTTTTCAATAAAATCTGCCCTAGAAAAACTTGGTTTGTGCCTTGTTGCTTTCCTTTGCATTTCTGCTACCCTAATATGCAGGCTTGTTGGGGGAGGAGAATAGTTGGTGTGATATGATTGAGTGTCCTACTATTTTCTGGCAATGCTTACTGCTTGTAAGGTTTTAAAGTAGTCAATTGTACATACTCGTTCGCATAAACTAAACTTGATGCAGGAAACTGTATTTTGAACAAAAACAATATTTAGGGTCTGATAAACAGGCTAACGGAGTTATGTGGCTTACAGGAAACATCACGAGCTACCCGGTTGTTTGAGCTGCCTTCCCTTGCGTTATGGGTACCGTGATATAACACAGTACGGTCGTGAGCCTTCCACTATTTGAGGTGTCTGCAGTGATAAGGTGAATTTACTTCAGTAATACCGCGCAGGCATTGAAGACCATTCATTGTGGCATCGAGGTTCTCCCCGTCGCAAATATAGGTTCCCTAAATATACTCACTCCGAAAATGCGGTGGGTTCACCAGGTAGGAGAAACTAACTGTTTTACTGGTATTTTATACAAACTCGACTCACGAACACGTTTTCCCTGTTCTACAAAACGGTGGCTAACATCAGAAAACAACCCCTCAGCTTTCAGAAATTGGTATATAAAAAGCACCACCCTCTTCTCGTTCAAACTCACGCTGCCTTCAATGTCAATGAGCTACCGCTGAGAACCAACATGGCGGCCCACCGAGTATGGCGGCCGTTTTAGCCAGTTGTAAGCCACCATGGTCAAAGTTGTCACCACCCTAAAGCACGGAGACGCGCGCACATGGAGGCTCCCTACCTGCACGCATTTCCTTGATCTAACCCCACACTTACAGTACATCATGTCACAAGTGGCGTGTAAGCCGTCAATGTGGCATGGCATTCTGGAGTAGAAATAGACGAAGGCAATGCAAGCAAGCCGCAGCAGGCACATTTTGATGGAGTTCAAATGCTGGAGAACTATGTACTCATATTGAAGTCACGTTAAAGACCACTAGATGGTCACAATACTGGGAACCCCACATCACAGCACCCCTCATACTCATTTCATGGTTTTCGGACGCAAAACTTTCCCAACTGTTACTAATGAAAGCAGGCCTTGTGACGATTATTGTCGTGAAGTTAGTGTTTTCTCGAGTGTTCGATATATTTTGAGTGAGGCGAAACGAACAGTGAATTTTGAGCAAGAAGTGTTGGTATGATAAGTACTTTTACTTCGGTTTCTCCTGATACGCCACAATGGTGTGACGCTTTCAATACCGCCGCTATGGCATTGATCGTCGTCCAATAGTAGCGGCATACACTCTGCCGTGGAACAACAGTTGCCTGTAGTGCTCTGTACCACCCACATATAGGACGTAAAGCTTTCCCAATTATTCGAAGAATATGGTCCCACTTGTTCTTCGAACGATAGCCATATTGCAATCTTCAGCGATGCGCTATACCTTGTTGTTGCTTTCAAGGTATTAATTCGCACTTCTTATCGACATGTCACTTCAGATATAATCACTCTAAGTATTTGCTAAAACGTGTACGACGTCGATCGGCACTAATAGACATATATAACTTGTGTGTGTCTCTACGGCTTCTCTGGCAGGTTGAACCAAGAACATGGCCGGAGGTGACGCCCCAAAAGTAGTCGTCAAGGAAGAGGCTCAAGACGATAGCGGTGGCATCCTGAGCTACATCATTGTGATCTGCTGCTTTGCTTTAATAGGCCTCCTCATATTCCTCCTTATATACGGAGAGCATGTCCGTATGGCAATACTCAAGTCTGAGAAGCACAAGCACTGCGAAACTCCAGACTGCGAGCGCGTCAAAAAGATGATGCACCTTGGGCCGGTGAGTGGAGACCTGCCCTGCCGAGACTTCTATGCGTACGTGTGCAGCCCCTGGGCTTCGGCGAACATCAAAGGCGTCAACGTATCCTGGTTGGGCAGCCAGAAGTACGTGGATGACATGCAGGAGGACATGAAGAAGCGGGGGCCCAACATCACCTACCAAACTGTTCTCGACATGGTGCTCATCACCTACCGCTCATGCCTCCTGTCGGCAACTGAATCGCTAGAATCTGGAATCAGACCAGTTTTCAACGAGTTTCTCTTAGGGAGCTGGCCGTCATTCACCTACTCGGACACCGAAGCGTACGATGTCTTCGCGGGACTTATTACACTGGACTTGAATTGGGGTATGAAAGTAGTGTTCGAATTCGAAAAAGCCTTGTACGGCGAAGCCTTTTTGCACCACAGACTGTCCATTCACGCGACTCCCTTTGCGTGCCCTTTTTCGCCAGAGTTGAACAAAAGCCTCGAAAGTACTTATGAAGAGTATGTCAGGGAAGTACTGGGGCTGTTTTCATACAACGACGACGCGACAATTCAAGAGCTAGTTGACATTCATCTCAACATCTGTCGTGCCTCGAAAGCCATGCAAGGCGTGCGAAAGTCGCACACTCTCCGAGAAATCGCTGCCGTAACGAGAGATATGGGCTTGTCTGAGTACATCTGGCGCAAGGCCCTCGAACCCATGGGGAACATGACTGCGTCGACGATCCTCCACGTCAAGCTTTACTACATTGGAGAAGCTCTCAGAAGTCTACTGAAGAACGTGCCCCCTGAAAGTGCGATGAGATTCTTCGGCTTCTCAATACTCACACAGATGGCAGCGCACCAAGAGCCGCTTAGAAAGGTAATGGACAAGTACTTTTTCTTCAACCACCCTATGCAGCCGAGTCCAGTTCACACTGAAAACTGTGTGTCGTTTATCTTCACCCATTTTGTAGAAGCATGGAATCTGTACGTTCTGTCAATTTCGAGCACCAACAAAGTCCAGTCTAAGGACGTAAGCCATATCGTTGCCTCTATAAAGAACTCCATGGTACGCAGAATACGCAGTTCTCAATGGATGGATGAGCTGTCGAAGTCCAGAACACTGAAAAAATTGAAAAGGACAACGGTCGTCCCACCAGTTCTTGGGCCGTATCTAAGGACTTCCAATATTGCAGAAAGGTACGCCGATATGGAAGCGCTGTCACCAACGGACTACTACGGCAACCAGCTGAAGATACGCGCCAACAATGCGCAGTACAACATACGGGGCGTGAAGCGATCTGAAGGACGGGGCAATGTTGTCTTGGCTGGTGGTGATGCCAACTGGGTTATGAACGTGGTCCACGTGTACGCTGGACTATTGCGCCTGCCCTTTTACTCCGCTGATGTGCCGATTGCGATCAAGTACGGTGGTTTGGGAAGTGTTACCGGGCGGCTGTTGTCACTCCTGTTCACGGGCAAGAATGTGAAGAAAGACGTTCTTGGCTCTACTTCGAACTGGTGGACCGGAGGTGTGTACCAAGAGTACGAAAAGAGGGCAATGTGTTTCGCTCAACAAGCCAATCCGGACGCTGCTTTGGGCGAAGAGGCTGATTTCCTGCCCGACTATCTCGGAGCTCGCGTAGCACTGGACGCCCTCCTCAACGCCATGGCTGACCGTAAGACTCGCCTCTTGATACCAGGCATCGCGTTGAGTGATGAGCAGATGTTCTTCATTACGTTCTGCCACGTCCTGTGTGCCAGCGTCGAAGTCGAAGGAAAAGTAATGCTACCCGAAAAAGCGCTTAAGCGCTGCAACGGGGCCGTCATGAATATGCCAGAGTTTAGTAGAGCGTTTAAGTGTAAGCAAGGTGAAGTTGACAAAGACGCAATTCTCAACCCTACTTATAAATGCTCTCTCTACTGAGCACCACGTGCGGCGTAGTGGGGTGCTGGGGCTGTGCTTCTTTTTGTAGGTCACTCTATTGGTGGTGACTCGTGAGGAAGTCGTTTCATATTAAAAAAACGAACAGCAAATCGGGCCACGTACACCTCGTATTTTTTTTAATGTATTGTGCTGTCTTACTCACTTTACCTAGCAGGTTGGTTTGAAGATCAACAAACGCGCACTTGGCTTATTCCAACGTGCCCCCTATACTAAATACACCAGTAGAGGTATCTGTATATTGCTGATAGGTCGCTCATGGATGTGTAGCGTCATGGAATGTAGCGGCTGAGAGGAAGATGGGACGGCGGCCAACGTGGTCGTGTCGTTGTCTCGCCACTTTATTATGAAAGGCGATTGCCGAAGTGGAGTGGCGGCGGCTGCAGCGTCCAAACCACCAGGCGCGTCAGCACGATCTCTCCAGCTCGTGCCTCGAGCTGTGGCATGATCTGCACGAGAGGCGCAGCGCGGTGGCTAGAAAAATGACGATGATGATGAATGGCGATGATGATGACGCTACAGATTCATCTTTGCAGAATATGAAGTAGAGACAAAAACAGCACAATTTCAGAAAGATGGGAGGATGGCATAACCATCAAACACAGGCGCAATGAGTACCAAAGTAATTTGCTTGTGCACATGTCCGAGTAACTTAATGTGAGTAAGCCACCGAGAAAATTTAGTGATCTTGTTTGATTCACGTTATATATGAATACGTTTGACATGGTCAGTCTCTGACCTCTCTCATTTATTCAAAACTAATTAGTATGAGTACTCTTCGCATTAGGAGGTTCCAGGACCTACCTTAAACATTTAGCCACTGAAGTGCAGGCAGTTCGATTCAGTAACGAAGTGTGCACCACTAAATGTATGAGCAAACAATTGTTTTTACAGCGAAAGCTGTTATGAGATCACAGCAAGGGTCATGTGCGCCGTAGTTGTACGCCGCCGCTGCTACCGGTGCCGTAACCATTATCGCACGAAATACGAACCAATGACACAATGGGATTTGAACCCGGGTCCCTTGCCTGTCAGTCCAGTATTCTACTGCATATTAAAACAGTGCATAGTATCACACAGAGTTGCGCTTTTAGTTCTATAGCGACAATAAGCGTTCAAGCGCTGCTCAGAATGAAACTTGATGGCTAACGTCCTATAGTCTTGGCAGAGTTCTTCATCATGCGCAGCTCAAGAAAAGTGGCGAGGCTAAGCACCTCACCAAGGTGGCGTGCCAGTCTTGTCGAAAGTCGAGTTCATGATGAACATTCTTCAAGTGAATAGCCATTCGGCTGAAATGTATGTGAGATGAGGTGATCGGCTTCGCGTGGCGGTCCTGCATACGCGTCTTCCACACTCTGTATATACCGATGAGGAAACACATATCGTACGGCACTTCATCAAGAGATGTTGGCATAAGGTAACAAACAGTGTATGAATTAATTACACAATTTTTCTACACAGTTTGTTAGAGGACATCCCAGAATAGCATGGCGTATTTCTATCTCACGAAGCAATGCTCTTTTGTTTCCGGTACAATGCAGAGACGGCCATTTACCATCGGACTAAAATACTTTCTACCAAGTTTTAATGGGTAGTATTTCAGAATGGGGTTTATTTCCACAAAAAAGATTTTTTTTTAGTTGGGAGATATACACATTTTGCACACCCGTTCCAACACATAATGGCCTTGAAAATCTAAATATAATGAGTGGTACAGTGGAGGCTGGAAGAGCATAGATAGTAAATATTTATATAATGTATTGCGTGAAACTATATACAAATATCTCATTAAAAGTTGGGTGTGCACAGACCGAACTGCAACGTAAACTTCCTTCATAAATCTTCACAAACAAGGGCTCGCGCAGAAGTCTGAAAAAACAATTTCATGTAAGGAGTTAACAAGTGTAACCTGCAAGAACGAACTAATGATGGAATGAGAACTATTACGGAAAAAGAAGAATCGCGAAACTGTTTGCCTTATATAAAGATGTTTTAAACCCCATCATTCACCCCTTACGTTCTCGAATATGTTGTCACGACGAACTCTCTGAAAAGTCGACGACCGTATACGGAAGTTGCAAAAATACGATGGAAGTTTTGCACATACAACCGGGGACAATGAATCAGCTGCAACACATAGCAAATCTTTGTGGCTAAAAATGTAATACAAGCTTTCACTCGGCCAAAAATTGAAAGGCGATATGGGACAAATGCCCGTGTCTGCCGCTGTATAGCATATGGGACGCGCTCCTTCCAATAGCATGCGCTGCTTGCAACTTGACCGCCAACTGACCCCATATGTACAGGCTTTTTGTTAGAAAGGAATCTCATTATTGTGAGTAATAAAACATATTAGAACAGCAAAGGAACAACCAGGCGTTATACAATGCGCATTGGATAACGAGTTATTCGTCGAATGCTCCTACCCATTACAAAAGCCTGAGTCATAATTCTTCATCGTCGTCAGCCACATCATGAAATTAATTGCACTACATTCATCGCAATTCTGTAGCGGGCACCGCACTTCTCCAAAGAATGATGAAGAATCGCATGGTTAACACTTCTCTGCTAAAATAAAATGTGAAGTTTATGAGTGCCCTGCAAGTGTTATTGTGGCAGTTACCCAAATAATGTTTAAAATGGCCTCTGGAAACGCCGTTCTTCTGGCTTTCTCTGTGACTGTGCCGCGCGTTCCGGACAGACATGTATTCTAAATGTATTTATGAAATTGTTACCGCATTTCTCTCTGGTTTTGCTTAGTACAAAAAAAATGACCGAGTTTACATTGCCGTGACACGAAATTGCTTATTATTGTGCGGCATTTTTTTCGGAAGTAGATTACATCTATAGCGTTTATATCTCGCTTCATATCCCAGCATATTTTCGTCTATCTGTACAAACTACACGAGCGTAGGGATGGGAAACATATTGAAAAAAAACGGTTACTTTCGGGGACCACTGGTAACACAAGCAAAAATTTTTTTTGGGTGGCTGTATGAAGTTCTCCGGATCTTCTAAACTAGGCCCGTCTCCAAACTTGTCTGAAATAAAATTATTAAAGAACGAAGTAGCAGCACTGGCTCTCTAGAAATACATTTTGCGTATACCTTGCAAGCCAGTTATCACTATGTTGCACCATAAGTTATCAGTGGCGCGCCTTTATACGTATATGCTACCTGCATGCATGCATGCAACCGGTACTTTAAGCATTGCGTTCTAATTGTGCAGCGTCTGTCACCCGTAGCACACGCAAACTATATTGTCTGCATCTTCGACCGGGGGTACCCTGGGTCTCATTTATGTACTGTCTCGAAAAACTGTCTCTCTGGAAGAATGGCAAAGCGGTTGATTTATCACTCATCTCCCGTACCATACTGTGGTGCGCATGTATCACCATGCGTAAAATGCCCTACTTTGATCACTGTGATACACTGCATTATATTTAAAAATGGTTCACTAAAACATACAAATGCGCGACATTGACGTTAGCTCTCAGAGAAATCTCAAAGCTTTCATGAGTTGTTACATATCCCTGTCACTGTTCCACGCAGTAAAATATGGTTATGTGACAGCTGTGCGATTCTGCTGCTCTCTTTCTCAGTTAATAGCTTCGCGATTTAATAACAGCTGCATGATTTTTACGCAGATTTCTCCAGCGTATACACAGGAGGGCGACAGTTTAGATCATTTCTTCCATCAGTCATTGACCGAAAGACCATAGTCACGCGAGTTCATTAGGTCCTATGGTCTGACGCCAAGACTCCAGCCTTGGTTAGAAAGGCGGCCACATGTTTTCACCAACCACTGGGCTAAACACTTTGATTTTTTTATGATAACAGTGTTACGGGCCTGCACACGCATCTTCTTACCTTATATGCCATGGTCGGTCGTAGTTCTTTTCGCTCCTAATTCCCCTTTAATTGTGCCGAGTGGCAGGCCGAGCCAGTATATCTCCGGCCAAAATTTTGTCTTCATCCAAGTAAACTTATGCCTATCGCATAAGTACAAAACGGATGCTGAGAGAGCCGAAAGAGGAGAGATAATAACCTTTTTATTGTTCTAACGATGTGCTTCTCACGATGTGTACTATGAAGCGTTGCTGTTCGCTGCAGCTTACTTTACTTCAGTGAATCTGTTATGTAGCAGCTACGGGTTGATCGTCATCATCATCATCAGCATCATCATCCTTTTGTTTCTTTTTCTCTATTTCTCATCTTTCTATTCCTCTTCCCTTATCCCCCAGTTGAGGGTAGCCAATCGGAAGTTTTTATGATTAAGCTGCCTGTCTTCTCGCTTTCTGTTTGCTTTCTTCTTTCCATCATCATCAACAACAACAGCCTCTCATGTGACTGTGTTCCGATTCTTAGACAGCACGTAGACAGTCTACGCAGACTGCTTTGAAGACAGCATAGAGTCCATGCTGTCCGAGAACTGGAACACGTCTGGACGGCTTTTACGCAACAAGGCGCCACCTCGCGTTGAGAAGAGAAAGCCAAAATAAACAAACGTAACAGTTCTATTTTCTGGCTTATTTCGTATTCAGATCTAAAAAATGGTAAACGTTACTCACATAGAGGTGGTCTGTCTGAGCGTTTCGCTGAGATGCCATCTTGTTTAGACAGCAAGTAGCCTGCATCGCATTTGTCTACGATGCGGTCTTCTCCGAGCTGTCTATTTTGCCGGCTACGTCAGAATTGGAATGGGACTTAAGATTGGAGTTTATGTATTGGAACACATCATATGTTCACATAGGACGAAAGGTTCTTTCAGTGATTTCCAAGTGAACCGGTCTTTTGTGGACATCGCCTATAGAAGTCGTATACAACTCAAGAAGTGAAATCTGGAGAGGCCCCACCCAGACGGCTCGGAAGCGCAGCAGCCGATCGCTTCGGCGACTGGATGTGAGAAGGCCATGGGAGATCCACTTGCTCTAGTACTGTATGGCAGGTTTGAGGTTGGAATTGGGAAGAGAGGTAAGATAA